TATATATATATACACAGTATATATACACTTTTTAAAAATACATTTATAAACAGCTTTTTAAAATAAATAAATAAATAACATCCAACTGTCCAATAATTTGTTTATTTGGTGCCAATTTTGGACCCTGTACATGACCATTTGCATCTCAAAAAAAGTCTTATAGTTATTAGTCTATAATACTAAAAACTGCATAAAACATAACAGTATTGTGCTAATAAAATTCAAATTCAAGTATTTTTAATCATGCTCACTCACCTTTTCTTTCGATCAAGAGATTTCTGGGTAGCAGCAGACAAAATCACCTTGTCCTTGGGGCTTTTTGCTTTTTCCTGCAAGCCAAATAAAATGGTAGGCTACGTGTGTTGGAAAGAAACACTGACCTGCACAGCTGTACATTCATATGGAAATGACTTTGTACTTTTCCAAAATAGGAAGGAAACAAACACTTCAACAATGGCCAAGGTTCAAAACGGACCAAAATGAAAGAAAGTCAGCCAATAAACATGAAAACTAATCGCAGGTCTGTCCTGATAGTTACCATCTCTCGGAGTTTTCTCTCGGTGCGCAGCTCTCTGTCTTGTTGCAGCAGAGACAGACGCTCCTGTGGAGTCATTGTGAAGAAGATATCATGAACGTCAAACAAGGCCGCACGTAACTGGAAGAGAAACGGACACAAAACAGAAGGTTTTAGTTGCAGTTCTGATGCTGTACACACTGTTCTTTAAGTATCAAACCATTACAAACGTGGCACCTGAGCTCTGACGCGCTCTTGCAGAGAGAGATCCTGCTCTGACAGAGAGTCGTTTCTCTGAGGAGCGTCAGTGCTGAATGAACGAATAAACTCTTGCGTGTCCTGAGGAAATACACACGCGTAAGGATGATAGAACGCGTAAGACTTTAATTAGCATGTATGTGAACTCTATATTGTGTTCTCACTTGTATGGTTTGACGCAGGTGTTTGACTTTCTCTGTTTTCAGCAGTCGTCTGATGAGGAAGCCCTTCACAATGGCAGTGAGGTGACACAGCGCCCTCTGCTGCTCCGCTGTTACAACCTGTAACCAGTTATAAACCGTGAGTCCAATCAAATTGGACTTTTAAAGGGGTCATATGATGCGATTTAAATCTTTGGAGTGTTACAAGCTCTTGGTGCATAAAGAAGATCTGTAAAGTTGCAAAGACTAAAGTCTCAAATCCAAAGAGATATTCTTTATAAAAGTTAAGAGTCAACCACGCCTACCTAAAATGGCTCGTTCTAACACGCCCCCACATGTCTACGTCACGATGTGGGAAGATTTGCATAATGCCACCCAAATGTTCACGCAAAGAAAGAAGGCGTAACTTTTATTCTCGCTGTAGTATTGTTGTTGCCGCTGCCGCCATGGCGTGAAGGCGCTGTGTGCTTCGTTGTGAAAGCGAAACTACTTTGTTTGGCCTTCCAAAAGAGGATGATATCCGCTTCGTCATGCCTAGAGCTGATCCTTGCTGGTCGCTGAGGAAATACATCAACTTCGCGCTGTGGATCGCCGGATCGGCTTTCACCGTGGACGAAGCGGTACACGGCATCACAATATGGCAAGGGGCGTAACATTTCCGTCACACGCTTGAGGTATTCGGCCAATCACAACGCACTGGATAGCTGGCCAATCAGAGCACACCTCGCTTTTCAGAACGATGAGCTTTGTAAAAATCGACGTATTTCAGAAAGGCGGGGCATAGAGGAGAAACAATAATGTACAGTATGTAGAAAATAATGTGTTTTTTTAACCTCAAACCACATAAACACATTTCATTACACCAAATCACAGCAACATCATATGACCCCTTTAAATACACCTTTCTCATACTCTTTATTGAAGCTTGTTTTACTATAAAGGGACTAATTTGCCGTTGTAAAAGCACATTAAAAATCAACCTGACTCAGCCTGTTTCTCTTTGCTGTGCTGTGATTTAGGCCTCTCATGTAAATGGGAGTCTGTATTGAAGGTGATGCCACATCTAAACTGGTTGAAGGGAAACCTAAAACGTAAAAATACAGACAGGTATGCATATATACCATAGTACATGTACCATAGTAAGAGTTTACCCAAAAATGACAATTATACCATCATTAATTCATGTTGCTTTAGAATCTAAACACCAAAAAAGTTCCAAAAAGAACTAAAAGCATCTTAAATAGTCCACGTGACTGCATTTTTGTTTGTTCAATTGAATGTGTTGAACCATTGTCCTTTTAGCATTATTTATAAACTATTATAGTATTTATTCCTATTTTGAATTAGCTTTTATTTTTATATTAGAAATTTTAGTTGTACTGTACATTTATCAAACAGCTTGTTATGTGCCTTTGTCATTTTTATTAGTTTTTTTAAATATAGATTTCTATATAGCTTTAATTCATTTTTATTTCATTTTAGTCAATTTTAGTACTTAAACGTAAATATTTCATTTAGTTGCCAAGGCAGCATTTCTAATTTTCGTTTACATTTTTACTTTTGTTTTTAGTTTAATATTAATACCATATTTTATTTCAGCTTTGTTACAATTAAGAGTTTTCTTTATTTTATTTTATTGTTTTTATCTTATCTTTATAATGGTTTTTTTTTTCAACAATTTAATTTTAGTTAACAATTTAGTTAACAATAACAACACTGTAACAACACCGAATGCAATGAATTAAATTTCAGTTCCTCACAGTTCCTCACTTCTATAGAGCTCTTCTGTATAGACTTGAAATATAGATAATGAGTCATATGGACCATTTTTATGATGCTTTTATGGTCTTTTTCTGTTGTTTTGGAGCTCATCATAGTCTGCCCTCATCCACTTGTGTTCCACAGAAGAAAGAAAAAAAGAGCTTGGAACAACATGAGGGAGAGTAAATGATGACAGAATCTTCATTTTTTGCTGAACTATTCCTTAAAAGCATGCTTTTAATATATACCAACATATTTACATCCATAAATCAACTAAACATCCATTTAAACATAGTGGTAGCAAATTTAAGACATTAATCATGGGCTGAAATAATGAAATAATACCAATGGTTGGCACAGGGTGTCTTGGTGATCTGTCTCCTGGGCTTAAAGAGCACATGGGGCTCAGTATAGGGTAACGTTCACCAGCCCTTAATTCACACCCGTCCTCGCCCGCTACAGGACTCAGACCACCCTGACCCCTCAGTCTCCTGGCCCGCTCCTCCGACTCCTGAGTGAGGAACAAACTAATGTCAGAATATACAATACACTTAATGATGCATATCAAAGCCCAGGGCACAGTCTGGCCCAAACCCAAGTCAAACTTTCGTCCAGAGAAATGTTGATTATGAGTATATTTATTCATATTTCACACCCAATATTTGTGTATGTGTTATTCCAGTTGATGCATAGCAGATGTGAGTGACCGGGTTATGATGCGGTCTTGAAAGGTAGCTGCCTACGTAGATAGTAAACATGAGGCAGTTCACAAAGGTTTGGAACAGAGCCAGTGCTGACCTGACTGAGGTGCAGTTGCTCTCTCTCTTGCTCTGCCATCAGACACGACATCCGGAAAACATAATCGTCCTCCAGAGACCTCTGCATGTCTTCTAGAGCGTGGACTTGCCATTGCATCTCATCTTAGGAAAAGACACACAATTGAGAGGATACTTTATCAAAGAATGCTAAAAATCTGATCTTTATACTCAAATTAACATTCATAAGTGGTTCTTTGAGGTACCATTGATTAACTCTTTTAATCAAGAATCATTTGTAGCCATATTGGGTTCTTGAGTTGCTATATGGTTCTTCCTTTCATGGTTCAATAAGTTCTTGATGTGACATTATTGGTTATTTATATTAGTGTTTTGGTTTCTGAGTTCTTTAGAAAAGGGAAAACAGAGAAAGCTATTTTTATCATTATTATTATAGAAGCACTCTACAAAAAAGAAGTATTGATCATATCACAATTCAGTATTTTTTGAAAGATATTAATACGTCAGAAAGGAGACATTAAATGAATCAAATGTGACAGTTACAGATATTTATAATGTTACAAAAGATTTCTATTTCAAATAAATGTTGTTCGTTTGAACTTATTTATTAAAACCTTTAAAAATGTATCACGTTTCCACAAAATATTAAGCAATGACTGTTTTCAACACTAAGAAATATTTCTTGAGCAGCAAATCAGTATATTAGAATGATTTCTGAAGGGTCATGTGACACTGAAGACTGGAATAATGATGCTGAAAATCACAGGAATAAATTACATTTTAAAATACATTCAACTAGAAAACTATTATTTTAATATTTCACAATATGAATGTTTTTATATTTGTATTTTTGATCAAATAAATGCAGCCTTGGTGAGCATAAGAGACGTCTTTCCAAAATACGTAAAAAAATATTTTAAAATCTTACCAACCCCAGACTTTTAAATGGTAGTGTGTATGGAAATATTTGTAACCATAATTTAATAATTTGTTTTCACTTATTAGAATGACCTCATAAAATTAAAACCTTTAAAAATGTATCACGTTCCACAAAATATTAAGCAATGACTGTTTTCAACACTAAGAAATATTTATTGAGCAGCAAATCAGTATATTAGAATGATTTCTGAAGGGTCATGTGACACTGAAGACTGGAATAATGATGCTGAAAATCACAGGAATAAATTACATTTTAAAATACATTCAACTAGAAAACTATTATTTTAATATTTCACAATATGAATGTTTTTATATTTGTATTTTTGATCAAATAAATGCAGCCTTGGTGAGCATAAGAGACGTCTTTCCAAAATACGTAAAAAAATATTTTAAAATCTTACCAACCCCAGACTTTTAAATGGTAGTGTGTATGGAAATATTTGTAACCATAATTTAATAATTTGTTTTCACTTATTAGAATGACCTCATAAATGCCAATTATTTAAGTTTCTAAAAAAAATCTATATTTTAAGAAGACGGTCTTTTGCAAGGGGATCATCATATTTTGGGGTTCTTGGCATTATGATGATGACTATTTCCTAAAAATCTAGAATGAAAAGTTCTTTTAGGAACTTTGATGTCATGGAACAGAAACTCATTTTGGTTCTTGGTTCTTCAATAGCGTATTCATTTGCTCTGTTCTTACCTGTTCTCCTTTCTTTCAGTGCTGTGCTAATAACACTGTTTCTTTCGGTCTCAAAAGGTAGTTTGGTACAAGAAGGAGAGTCCAGGGTGATTCCGGACCCCATAAATGCTGCTACGGGACTGTCCCGTGTGAAAGTCTTGTTCATCGGTGAAGGAGGAGACAGTCGAGTGGGCGTTCTCGCAGTGACCCCAGCCATAAACCGAGGCATTCTCTCCTGGCTCCGGTCTATGACTGGACTCTGATGACGTGAGGACAGATGGCTATCCAGCGTGTGGCATCTCCTTCGAAACAGAGGGCTTGTGAGCTCAGGATCCACTGGAGATGTTTCTAATCGTCCCACGGTCTCGTTCAACCCGGAGTAATCATCATATCCACCCATACTCACATTTTCCACTCCGAGTAGCTTCCTTTCCTGCGTCGCAATTGTTTTGACTTCCTGTGGCATTGCGTGCGCTGTAATGTTCAGTTGGTTGGGGTTTTCAGGGAAAGAAAAGAAGATGCTGCCAGTAGAAATGGGACGAGGACGTCCGCGGTGGGGTCTGGCACTTAAACTGGCACCAGGTTCTGGGCTTGTCAGGTTACTGGGAGAGGTTTGGTTTGGTGAGGAAATATAAAAGGGTAAACCAGATGCAGTCCCATCCAGAGAACTGCCGTGTTCTTTATCCGATGGGCTTTCAGAGAGTATCCTGCTTGGATCAACCATTTTGTTGCTGATGACCTTCGACCCCTGTTTACCTTGCTCTTTTTGGATGAATTCACGTGATTTCTTCAGTAGGTTCCGCAGACAAACTCCTTCTGTTTCAATTTCCTCTTGCATTTGTTTTTCTTCTGCAGATGTTTCTCTCATAACAGCAGGCAGCTCAGCTGAAGGGCTCACTGGTTGCTTGCTAGAGAAAATGTACGGCTCTGTGGCCCCAGTAGGTGTAAGATTTGCAGTATCAAGTACTGTAAAACCATTCCTGTAGTCTGTTTTTGTTGATGGAGACAGGCACTGCTCTGAAAGCTTTGGCACGTCCAATATTTTTGGTGCCTATAATGCAAGTGCAACAAGATATGAAAGTAAATATGCAACAAATGATAGTAAATAAGCTATATATATGTGACCCTGGAGCACAAAACCAGTCTTAAGTCGCTGGGGTATATTTGTAGCAATAGCCAAAAATACATTGTATGGGTCAAAATTATAGATTTTTCTTTCATGCCAAAAATCATTTTATGCCACAATCATGTTCCATAAAAATATTTTGTAAATTTCCTACTGTAAATATATCAAAACGTAATTTTTGATTAGTAATGTGCATTGCTAAGAACTTAATTTGGACAACTTTAAAGGCTATTTTCTCAATATTTAGATTTTTTTGCACCCTCAGATTCCAGATTTTCAAATAGTTGTATCTCGGCCAAATATTGTCCTATCCTAACAAACCATACATCAATGGAACGCTTATTTATTCCGCTTTCAGATGATGTATAAATCTCAATTTTGAAAAATTGACCCTTATGATTGGTTTTGTGGTCCAGGGTCACATATGGTACAAAGTTTGAAATATTTTTTAATGTTTTTAAAAGAAGTCCATATATTCTCACCAAATCTGCATTTGATCGAATACAGTAAACAGTACTGTGAATATACTGTGAATATAATGGGATGTTATGTTTAATATCTGGATTAAAAACAATAAAACCATAAAAGGATAAAAATAGATTTAAAAAAGGATAAACATTAAAATATGCATATAGGGGTAAAAGTCACAAAACACTTGAAAAATAAATAAGTCCCTAGGACATAAAAGTGCCTATAATTGAAGAAACACTAATTGTCTTACCTTATCAGTCCAAAGAATGGTCTGAATCTGATTGAGGAGTTTTTTGTTGTAATGAACCTGTTTCTCGGCCTCCACTTGTTTTGCTCTTTTCCTGTATTCAACCATCTCCCTTCTTTGTTTCTCACTTAGCTGGAAAAACACAATACACAGAATAAATAAATAATAATAATTAGACAATTGAAAATAAGAGACAATGTTCTGCTGATTTTGAAGGTGCAAATCGAACTTAAATATTATTATTATTAATAATGGATTACACTTTACTTGAAGGGGTGTGCATAAGACTGACATGACACCTTCATAATCATGACATGACACCTACATAATCATGACACCTACATAATGTCTTTGTTATGGGCTATGGTTATGGGTAAGGGTAGGGGTAGGGTTAGGTTAGGTTTAGGTCAAATAATGTCATATTTGCATTAAAAATGACATAACTGAGTGAATGACACTTAATGACAGTTGTCATAAACATGCATAAAACCTCCTTCATATTCATGACATGTGTCATGTCATGATTATGAAGATGTCATGTCAGTCTTATGCACACCCCTTCAAGTAAAGTGTTACCTAATAATGTTTCATTACTATATTTTTTGTGCGTGAGTTTAAAGTTTATCATCACAAAGAAAATCAATTGTCAAAAATTCTGACTGAGGACTTACATGAAAAATGTTTGTGGTCACACTGTGTAACATTAAACTTTATGAGACATAATTCATAAAACTACACTCTCAGAAAAAAGGTACAAAGTTGTCACCGGGGCAGAACCCTGAGGTACAAAAGCTAAAAGGTACATCTTTGTACATTACTTCCTCCTAAATGGTACATATTAGTAATTCAAAAGTAAAGTGTATGTACCTTTTTTCTGAGAGTCTACAGCATTGCAGACTACATTTCTGACCCCCTTGTTGTTTTGTAAAATATCAATTATCATGTGTTGTACTCACAACAGGAGACAAAAGCGGCCTGCCATGAAAGCAGATGAGCGAGTGCGCCACCCGTCGATCAGGTGCGGTACTGCAGCTCTTCTCACGCACCATTTCCGACTGCAGTTCACATAGAATGCGTGCGCAGAAATCCTCATAGCTGTCCATGTTTTCTCTACAGCGCTCTCACAGCTGGAGTAGCCTAAATATTGAAACGCAAGTGTTATATAGGCTAAAATAGAAGCACGTTGCCGTTCTTATTCTGTTACAGATTCGGCTTTCACAGCAGCAGTCATGTTTGCTAACAATGCAGGCTTTTATAGGCTATTCATATTTTAAACAAACTAGCCTATTATGTCAAAGCTGTCGATAATAAATGGCTCCGCATTCCACTGCTCTTTTATCTGTAAAGATGTATTTGCTATTAACAGATAACCGTGCACAGATGTTAAAATCTCAGCATCAGCACTTACCTTTTATCGCAATGCAGCCTGGAGCTTCTGTTTGAATAAATAAGAAAAACTACATAAAGTGCATGAACAAAAGGCTTTCGTCTACCACAGATGCGACTGTAACGCTGTACGATGTCGCTGTGCTGATGTTTATTGGACGTACAGATGCCCGTTTTACGTCGAGAATGATAACGAAGCTAGTAAACTAGATTACTGTGTATCCACATGACGCAGAAGGCTGATTTTTATATCCTACACCGTGCATCTGTCATTCACCCGGGACCCGGGGCTCTGTGTCTGCACGGTCTTCATCAGCACCGCCCCGTTCACTCGCCGTCTTTCTCTCAGTTCATTTGGACGTAAAACCAACGGAAGGTTCCTTAATTCACACCTGATACATTTCGGTACAGATTCATTTTCACATTTTCTTTACTGTAGCAGGCCTATAAATTCACGAGATGCTTCCGCTAATATGGATACAATGTTTTTAATTAAATTATAGAATTAGAATACATATATTACATAATGACTAAATGAATGAATGATTAAATACAGTAAATTAAGTAAAAAAAAAAAAAGAGAGATGTTCCTTGTACTCAAGGTGTCATTGTTTGTAGCAGAATAAATAAATAAATGTCATTTCTGCAGTTATTTCTGGGGAAACTGAAAAAATAAATGATAGTAATGCAGAGTAATGATTTTTTTTTTAAACCTTGCTTGGACAAAATGCAGACCTCTCATCTGTATTTCGCTCGTGATATCGATTTACCATAAAAGAAATGCTTTTAACTACTTTAATAGCAAATTAAAGACTTGCTTATTACTCATTACTCACTAATAAAACTATTTATAAATATGTAGGCCTAACTGTTTTAAAAGGCTAAATAAGGAAGGGTTTAATATTCACAATTAACAATTTCACTGTAAAATCTAACAACTGCCAGTAAAGGCAATTCCTTAATAAATAAATAAATAAATAAATAAGCAAGCATGTAAACGAATTGTTAATAACAGAAGAGTAGAGGTGTTCTAATATATAAATATATATATATATATATAAGAAAAAAATGGTCATATTTTATTTTAAGGTCCAATTCTCACCATTAACAAACCATTAACTATGACTTTTGCCTCAATAAACTCCTAATTTGCTGCTTAG